CATCCTCAAAATTCATCTATAAAACTCTCAACGCAGAACTCAACTCTTTGAAGAATCCAATTCAAACTTACTGGCACAAACATAACATCATTCCGGAGAATCGAAGGATTCAATGGAAGGAGATATATCATCTTCCATCTTCGAAGAAGGAGGGCGATATTCAATTTCGACTACTACACAACATTTTACCCAGTTTACCGGTTCTCCAACATATAAATCCGGACATTTCGCCGCTTTGTCAGTGGTGCGGTGAAAGAGGAACAATTCTACACTTATTCATCCAATGTCGCGCTATCCAGCAAGCACTCAACTTTCTCAACTGCCTTCTGAGCCGTCTGTTCCCGGACCTCATCCAAGATTTTGATCTCTACTGGTGTCTGCTTCCTCACGGGAGAGGACGGCCAAAGGAGATGGTCAATCTGGCAAATTACTTCATTATCAGCATGAAAGCTACCATATACTACCTCTACTTACGTTCGTCCTCTACCGATCTCCTCACTGTGTGGAAACATCGAATGAAAAGTAAAATATTGATCGATTTTCACTATTTCTCAGCCAAAAACAACACTAGCTTGTTTCAATACAAATGGGATCACAACAACGCATTGTTCACTATGATTAACCAAAAATTAATCTGGCTGATATGAAGCTTTTTTGATACTGATTTTTTTTTCTTTTGAAACATGGTGATTTCCACTACTTCCCTGCGGGGATGAAAGTGGTTAACAAACAGCTTTTGATTTTCGGGTTTCTTTTGTTTTGTATGATTTTTTTTTGATTGTTTGTTCTGTGAATTCAACAATATTTGTTCAATGAAGTTTGCATTCATCCATGAATGCTGTGAATTACTACGTTCCAAATTTTTTTAGTTTATTCTTTGTATATACATACTTTGTTTAATCCTTTTGAACCATGTTTAATTTTAAGTGGACTTGGTTTGTGATTTGATTTGAATTAAAGGTTCAATTGGAAAAGTGAAAGTGTTTGTTTGTTTGTTTGTTTGTTTGTTTGGTTGTTTGGCTGTAAGAGTATTTATTTATTAGTTCGTTTTTATATTTTTGTATCTGTCTGGTTTGTCTAATGTTTCACTATATGATTTTTTTGCTGAGTCTTGTCTCATCTCCCCATCTTGTCTCGTCTTGTCATGTCTCGTCATGTCTCGTCTCGTGTGGTTTGTTATGATTTGTACAATTTACTTTTCAATAGTACTTTAATTTTAATGAATGGAATTTTAAATCTGTTTTATTGGCAGGGGTTTGGATAATCGTCTGATGACAATTGTTTTTTTTTTTACTTTTACATATCCGTGGCAGCCTGTCTAACTTTTAGCTTTTATTTTATGTTTTAAGGTTTAAAATAAAATAATTCAATCAAATAAATCAAATAAAGTTTCTTCAAGTCCTTATTACGCTGGAGATTTCCCGATCGCAGTACATATGAGAGGTAGCCCAAATAGGCGCGACCTAATCCGGCCAAATTACGATTTGTATACTAGTTTATCTGTAATAATACAGAATTTTGGCCCCTGCACTTGAGGGTCTGTATTTGTAGAAGTGAAGGGTCCATGTCCCTGAATTTGGATTTCTGAACAAAACATTTGAATGGAATCTATATTGATATGGAGTGGAAGGAATCTGTTTGTTTGTTTTTTTCAAAATGGCGATGGGGTGATTTTTTGTTTAGTTGTGTTACTTGTTGGTGTCCCTGCCACACTGTACGATGGTGTAGCCGTGCGTTATGCACGTGGATTGTGTACTTTCGTTTTGACGGGGACTTTACTGAATAGAGTCTGGTGACTGTAAATAGAAATTTCCTTGAATAAAAGTCGAATCGTTCATTCATGTGCACTTGTTATGCAAAGCAGGGGCAGTGGTTCAAGGATCTATGTCGACATGCAGAAAGTGTGCAAGAACGCGACTTGAATGCTTTTATGTGTTCACAATTCAACGACGCTGTTTAGTTATTTCACTGTGTGACACAGTGAGACATTTTGGGATCATAATGGCGTCAGCAATACTTGCTTGGGAGCTCTTGCGTACGACTTTCTGATCTTTGGTACTGTTGTCTCCCGGACAATTGTGTGTACGGTAACCCGACGTACCCAGATTTTTAAAGACAAAATTGCCGACCGCAAACTTGTTAGTGCCATATTTGGCAACTATATGTGCGTTATTAGTTTAATTAAACAAATGAACAGGTTAATTAAACATAGTACCATAGAAGACTGACAGACGAACATAAAATGTTACAAAATAAACATAATTTATTTGTCTGGATAATTTTTTAGGGCGTTACCGGCAAGTTAACACAAACTTGGTGTCAAATAGATCATGGGAGTTACTTTTCTTTGACTTTTCATACAAGTTTACATAAACTTTAACTGTATGACCTGCAGTGGCGTAGCCACAAGGGAACGTGGTGGGGGGGGGGGGAGCGACCTTGTCGCCCCCCAGTCGCCCTACCCCCATGAAATGGTCCAGCCCCCCCCCCCAGCGCCACCCCCCCCCCCCCCCCCCCCCAGCGTCCCCCCCCCCCTCCACTGACAAATTCCTGGCTACGCCACTGGTCACTGAGGATGTCAATGTGAAAATAAATTTCGATTTGATTGATTGATTGTATGGTCTTTGAATCACATCGGATTGTATCCCCAAAATCAGTCATTACATCGCCCTCTAACGCTCAAAACATTACTTGTCAGATCTATTTCTTCTCAACCTCGTCCCCAGGGTGTCGAGCAGTACGCGCCCATCACTACCTGTTCGCTCTCACCCTGGTATTGGATTATTTGCATGTGCAAAATTGTTGAACACGTATGCAAATGAGGAATAGTTTGGTGCATGCATGTGCGTTACATTTGCGCTTGTTTCTGTATGCGGTGTCTGGGGTAAACCAGTCAATTCGTCGCAGCACGAGCATGGCGTGAGTTACGAAAACACAATTCATTTAATTAAACTATTACCATCTTATCGAAACAACATGCAGTATCACATTTCATATTAATATGAACAAATTGGGAGAGGAAATGAGTATTTTCGAGAAGGCGTGGACAAATGATTGTGAAAACACGTACTGCACGTTTTGAATAACAACACCAAGTACACGATAAAAATCCATTTCTAGCCAATTGCGGTATCGAATCAAGATACAGGAAGAAAGTTTGCTATCCAGGGCTTACTATTGGAAACGCGGTTGGAAATAAAGTAAGCACTGGGGACGAGGTTGATTTCTTCTGTGATTGTAGAGAGCGGAATCTCATGGCGTGTCACAGCTTTTAGACTGGTACCCGGTCCCTCCGTTGTCCTTCGGACTTCGAATGCAGGGACAGGTAAACTAGAAGTTTTCCTCCTATAATGTAAGCAAATTATATGCAGGACTGGCTGAAGTCTGATTCGCGCCCCCTGAATACAAAATGATAATGTTAGCGCGGAACCAGCTGGCGCAAAATGGCAACAAGACTACCACTAAGATGCAGTTTGGGTGGTGATGAGCTGAATTCGAAAGTGTCTCTGGCAATTATTAATAAAGAGAGGGGCACTGCTTTTCAGTATTTGAAACCTGTGCCGTTGAAATGCTTGGAAGTTGCCTTAAGCTTCGTGGAGACACTGTCGATTTTGCCTACTGGTTTTGGTAAGAGTCGGTGTTTTTTTTATAGCCATGTGTTCTAGTGTATATATCAATGCACCAAACTTAAAACATCGTTTTCATCAATACAAAATAATGCTGCGCATGCGCAGAGATGATCCAATCAAAGGCTTTAAATGGGAACTAAATGCCGGTCCCCATTGTATTGGGGCAAGGACCAGTCTATGGAGCTTTCCATCATCTACAGCGACATGACTTTCCCAATAGTCGCTCTTTTTAGTTAACTCGTTTTTGAGCATTAAGAATTCATTGGCACGGTCCCATGGTGTAATGGTTAGCACTCGAGACTTTGAATCTCGCGATCCGAGTTCGAATCTCGGTGGGACCTTATTGCTTTCTTTTAGTAGGCACGCACAATTTTATTATTTATCAAAATGACAAAATAAGTCTGTACCGGTTATGTCTGTACAAGGACCAATAGACCTTTATCATGCTGCCACCATTTCAGTCATATTCCCTGTATCCAATAATAGTACTGAATGATAAGGGTTTTTTTTGTACAAGAAGAAACCAAACTATTTTTCTTTCCAGCCTCGCTTTGGTTTTACGTTGATTGATTGGGAAAAATCAAGATGGCCGCAACATGATAATGGTCTATACATACAACTGCAAGCATGTAAGTGCATCTGTTTTGTTGTGAAATCTTTCTAGTTGCTCTAATAATAGCTGTTCTAATCAACCTCGCTCCCATGGTGGAGTGGACGTAATAATTTACAGTGAACGGTATACGTTGGAAATAAAAACCACCAAGTACATGTACACGATAGAAATCCACTACTTACTACTGCTGTACTTGTGTCGAATCAGGATACAGGAAGAAACTTTCCCATCCAGGGGTAACTATTAGAGTGAGGATGAAACTAAGGTAAGCCCTTCACGGGGACGAGGTTGCTGTTCTTATATCGGAGGTGCAACACCCGTTGAGGGCGCTGTCATTTCTCAACGGTGAACAGTCCTTGGTTAACGCCTGCGCACATTATGACGAATTGACTTGCAGTCGAGTTTTTACCAGTTACCACAAATCAGCAGCTATAAAGCAATTATTCTGTTACTTTAATGAAATGTTAATTGAAAGATTGTAAATGTGTAGATGTGACTTAAACACAACATGTAAACAAAATATAAAATTATTAGTAACATGTGAAGCGATTTCATGAACCGTGGATTCGCGTCTGTTTGTACTCTCAAATTGGTGGTAAATAAGGCGCTACATTTGCTCAAACATTGTGGCCAATTACAATTAAGTATTACAATTTTAGTTTATATGACAGTCTATTTTTCTATATACAGAAGGGTGGGTCTCCTATCTATAAGCTACGTGCGCCCTCATCGGCATAAGATAATCTAGTAATTGTCTATTGTCTCTGAATTTCATCAGGAGGCAATGGATTCTATCCCAGCTGACGCTTCGTGCTGTCTGGCCTTGAGACGCAGACTAGCAATGCTCGAACACTTTCGTTCCTCTCCGAAAATCTTCGGAAGTGCCAAGGGCGCCCTCTCGAGGCTGGACATTGGACCCATGGGTGACAAGGATGGGAGGATGGGCGGAGTTGGTATGGCGATGCCGGCCGCTGATTGGAGGAGCGGAAACGGTGACGTCAGTCCGTCCATATTGGGGAACTCCCCAGCCAATGAGCATTCGGAGAACGCGTGGACACTTGGATCTCGTCTCTGAAAACACGTGCGAAATACAAAACAGATACAAAAACGGATACAACACAGTAACAGAGCTGAATCAAATCAGACACTGTTAAACCTCAAGCTTTAATCGTTTGACTGCTGGTATCTTGCGAAAGTTTTACAGTATATTTAACCAGAACAATTTGGGCGTACTGTTCTCTAGATTTAGGTCAACTAGTTGACGCAGGGTGCCATAATATTTTTCTACAAAACAGTAAATGCAACAGTTCTAATTTACTTAAAATAAAGTGTGAATTCGTTAGTCATCCAGACTACACTTCCTCTAGATTGTTAGCCTTTAAAATCGCATATTCTAGACGTCTAGAGGTATGGCATAGGCGTAGTCAGCGCGGGGGTGGTGGGGGGTAAGTGGGTATTTGCCCCAAATATTTTGTAAAGACTGCCCTTTTCCTTGAAACGTGAGGATTGTGAACGTTCAACCAAAAAAAAACGGCACGGGATTTCATAGGCGTCAAAATTTATGTGACACTGGAAAAGTGACCAGACCAGCCAGCCATGCCTTTATCAACCGTTTAAAACCGGCCACGTGACGGGCTCTCGACCAATGGGAATGGATAAACTGACTTAGGCATTTATGAATTTTCTTTTCTTACTCTGTCACTTTATTTTTGCCTCACCCTTTAATGTGAGACACATTTATGAAGCTAGTGAAATTATACTGGGTAGATATTTACCGTGAAGTCGATTCGAGGCAGAGATTTAGGCGCTGGTACGATGTGCGTCATTCTGAGATCCTGCAGCCCACCAAAATTACCAAGGCGCTCATACTTTCGCCATTTGGCGCGTCTGTTCTGGAACCAAATCTGTATATTTAAAAAAATACCGACACGGCAGGATATACTTCGTAAATATAATGATAAGGGAAAAAAGAAACAGAAAACACAGACCAGTAACTAGATTGATAAAAGGGCCGAACAATGCTTTTTGTTTAAAGCTACAGTCCATCATTTGTAATTTGTGCATTTTGTTCGTTTGAAGCAACAAAAGTGTTCAAAATCTAATGATTTTGAACACTTTTGAAGGATACTGAACAACTAACCTGATGAAGTTTCAGCTAAGCTTCAGATGTACATTCCGAGAAAAACAGCATTCTAAGATCTCAATTTCAAATCAAAAGTTACTGAATCATGTTTTGAATTGCTTTGAATTGCAGCTACATACGCGACGTAGCGCAGTGATCCGACGAATTATAACAACCGCGCGCGCGTGTGCGTCGTTCCAATACATGTGCGCGCTGCGCTGAATAACAACCCGAACTACTAATTTAAATTTTCCTACGGTGCTTCTTAAGAATCACCGTTGGAAATGCCTTCTTTCGTTGATTACTTCAAAATGACAGCTTCCCAGAAAGAATAATTTCACAGGGAGTTTAGTTCCCTAACTATCTTTCAACCAGGTTTTTTTTTTAACAATAATTACGACAGTTACTTTTCGGATGGCTGCAAATGATGGACTATAGCTTTAACGCAATCCTTGAAAATACACCTTTGTGTCCCTTTAACCGTATTTTCAATTTTCGTTTCGCCATTTTCAAGGGTACTTTGGTGCCTTTTGATGCTAATGCTAATTTCCATATTCATGATAAAATGTACGATGTCATTTCAGACAGAAACCTCAATGCTACAGCTATATCAACACCAAAAGTTGCCAGAATTTTGGATATTATTGCTGTTGTAAATTTTCTTTTCTTTTCATTATTCGTTGTGTCAGTACATGACATGTAAGTCTGTAAGCAAACTTTTCTCACAAATGTTTTCAATTAACACATTTTTGGTTCACAATTTGAACAGAAAACCCCCAATTCGAAAAGTGTCATCTGGAAATGACATCACAGCAGCAGGGCCCCCAGTTTTCCGGAAAAAAGCTCGGAAAGTGCACTTAACCATTAAGGCAGCATGCACGGAGACCATATCAACAACAGCCAATGGTTGCTCAACACAAGATTTGCAGGCTTATTTTACCTGTATTCTTTGCTCTCCTAAGCAGGTTTTGGCGGCCAGGATGTCACGTGTCTGCACATCCGGGTAATGCGTCATTTGGAATACGCACTCCAGCTCTCGCAGCTGCTCTGGCGTGAAGGTTGTACGGATCCTGCGCTGTCGCTTGGCGGCGCTCTTCTCGTCCGATAGGGACTCGTCTGAAACTGAAGATGGTGATATACATGATGAAAGAAACAGATTCGAATGTTAAATTCTGGGACGAATTTGCGTTGTTGATGTTTATTTACCTGGTGAGTTATGACGGAACGCTTCGCTGATATCCCGCTTTTTTGCTGTGGCTTCTAAATTTCCCCCACGTTCCGACACAAAACAGTCGTTGAATGCGTCATCTTCCGCTGTATCTATGTCTTCTTTCTTGAGGTCATCCCGTTTCCATGGCAACTCTTTATTGAGTGTTTCCAATTCTGACAGCTCTCCCAATTTATTCCCCTGGTTGTCCCTCTTGTGACCATGGGGGCGCTGTTCTCGATGGACGTGAGTGAAACGCTTCCCTTTCTCGTGAGACTCGATTTTCGCGGCTCGATGACTGCTTGGGCTTGTCAACGGTTGAGACCTTGGAGAAGCTGGTGTTGAGTGCGCCCTTGTGTGTTTGCGTTTGGAGTGAGGGCGTCCTGAGGGTCCAGGCGCTTTGGGTGACTGAGGAGGTGGTGACGTCACTGATTCTGAGCGATGTGGTGACTTCTTGGTTTGATCTAAAGTGGTGTCAAACGAGTAACAATCGACTGATAAGCTTTTCTGTCTTAAGAAATCAAATGAAAGCAGGAAGAATTCACCTGGAACTAATACCTTTCAATTCTAGTTTAAAAACACAGCGAGATCTGTAATGAGGGTTGAGACATTAAGATCCAACTTTTTTACTGTGAATATCTCGAAAATGTCTAATTATTGAAATAATATCTACAACTTCAACACACGGTATACGGTAACTTCAAAAGTTTTTAAAACCTTCAAAATTGTTGTTTATTGAAAACTTTAAGATTCCATGAGTTTTTTGCGACCGCTTTTCCGACGAAAATGGAAAAATCCTAGGGGTGCAGACCTACAAATCGACTCTTATAGACCTCAGTGATAATTACACATACATCCGAAAATTATTTTAAAATTCTCTCAACTCGCCAAGGTGTCTGAGAAACCCATCAAATTAAAGCTTATTTCATAATCTTTTATTTTCTGTTCATTTTTGTTCAATTATTTTATGACTTTTGGGAGAAAATGCCATCCACGGATGATCACCCGGAAAAGTAGTCCTGTGGCCCATCGCCATTTTGAAGAAAAAAAATTATGCCTGCGCTCCATTGAAAAATTAAGCAATTTTAGGGCCGAAGTTCATGCGAATTTCACAGAAATACGAGCTCACACTCCTGAGCACAGCTAGTTACAAACCTTCAAGTTCATGGTCCACAAAATGCTCTAATATCAAAGAATTTTAGGGCATACAAATTATGATATTGGTGGCCTGCGTGACAAATTCTGGGCCTATTTACAGGTGTACATGCATCCCCGCCACAAAAGAAGTAACTTTTAATTAAAAGGGTATCATAATTTTAATAAATGCTGATGAAGGAAATAGTTGATTTAATTAAACCACCGATCGACGTAGCTTTGTAGCTAGTTAGATCAATTTATCACTACCAACAAATCTTAATTAATACGATGAGCACACAAGGCGCGCTGTGCATGGGCCGCAAAACATAAACTGGAAATAGGCGGCCAGCTATAAACCCGAGCAGGCTCGCCGGCTGGATTAAAACAGAGAACCGGTTGCTAGGGTTAGCATGGAGAGCCCCAAAGTAGCCGCCCTAGCTGATTATTAGTCCCAGTTATTTATGGCTTGCTTTAATTACTTTATACGGTATTTATCGACTTTGCAGCCTGTATAATTACAGCACAGTTATAAAACAATAAACCATGTCATATTCAGGAAGGGCTGGGAAGTTATTCGCTGAGCCGAGATTGGATGTAATTTGGGCCGGGAAGTCAACTTTACTGGGCTGTTCAGCAGGTAGTAAATTCCCTGCCCACTCGGTTGCTTGGGTGAAACGTCTTCAATGTTTGCGGCAATTAAGGAGGCACCTTTGATTTCTTCGCTGGTTCCCGACCCGACCCTTATTGACTTGGCACAATTGCTCCTATTAACTGTCAATATCAAGCGGCCATTAATGTTGCTAGGGAACTGTGGTGATTAAAGTCGGAATTGGTCGATCTTGCCCGTGTTTGCTGTCGTCGTGGCCAAAACTTGAAAGTAAGTTAAGCAAAATATGAGAACCAACGATATTAGCTTGAAAAAGGCTGTTCATGTTTTGTAGTGACACATTTGAAAACCACATGTCGCATCACGTGACTTCGGCAGACACTTTCCCATTAACCTTCAATGTTTTGAATGAATCAATGTTGAATTGTGTCTTCTTCTTTTTTAATCTAGTGTTAACAGGTATTTTAATGCGACAAAAATCTCTCTTCTGATTCGTTGTGATTTTTATCGAACAACAGCTAAAGTATTGCATGGCGTCATCGAAAGTCGAGTTTGCGTACTGAACCCATCCCACACGCATGCGCATATTCTTTTTAGTAATACTTTCATTTGCAGTCAATCGCTCGCCACTTAGTTACTTTTAATATACCAAAGTACAACAAGACTCTCTCCGTTACATTAGAAAACTGGAGAGAACCCAGGAAACATCACCCCATTTGTGGCAATTCGCGATCTTGTTTACATTTTCAAATAGCCGTTTTACAACCGCAGCACGAATTGAAACCCCGCTATAAACTAATAAGTGCTAAGTGTTAGAATTATAAAACAAACCACGTGCAGAACGGGCGCGTCAATAAAAGGCGGTGTGCTTTTGTGTTGGTCAATGGGTTTGGGGTCCTGCAACGCTTGTAAAGTTCGCTGATTAAACAACACTATTATCGCAGTTAAATAGACACCTGGGCCGCCAATGCCCCAACGAGTGCTTAAAGAGTATTACATGAATGTACGCGGGAACACATTTTGGGCAAATTTTCGTCCTCTGAAATGTATGAAAATTTTTGAGACATCACTTTTTGGTTACGATTTTCGCACAGTACATGTTTAAATATTTCAAATTTTTCATGCTTTTAATAATAATAATTTGGTGCTTATATAGCGCTATATACCAAACGTCTCAAAGCGCTTCACAATTATTACCCATGTTCATTACACTATGAGACCAGTTTTTGCAGCAGCTCGAGATCAGCGCATTTTAGTCTCTGCCTTCACAAGTACCCATTTATACTCCTGGGTAGAGAGAGGCAATTGTAGTAAAGTGTCTCGCCCAAGAACACACGTACGTCAGGGTTCGAACCCACGTACCACGGCACGTGAGTCGAACACCGTAACCATTGGACCACAGCGCTCCACTGACAACCGAGGGCGCTCTTTTTCTGTCCATCAATTTTATTTTGTTTAAAGCTGTGAGAGTGTTGTAGTCGAGTCACGTGAGTCGAGTCCGGGTCCGACTCCCGAGTCAGTTGGGTCGAGTTTGACTCCGAGTTCGAGTCATGATGGTCGAGTCCAAGTCCGAGGCTTTTGCCGATGTCACTCGACTCGAGTCAGAGTCACCGAAATTGCTACTCGAAACAGACGCGAGTCCGAGTCCTGGACGCGAGGCCCACAACACTGATATAGCAGATATCAATTGAGGCCTAAAACAGCAAAAAAAATAATCGGCCTCAGGCCACGCCTACGCATACAATTTTAGAAATAGGCCCACTTCAACAAACAAAACGTATTCAACCGACGCTCATTACATGAACGATAAATAACTAATAACTTTCGTATGGTAATATCGAGTGGACGCTTTTCAGCGCTTCGCTCAATTAGTTTGGAACACGGGGGAAAATTCATCTCGCTGTCATTAAATCAATAATATGAGCTGGTTTCGAGTCTAAGTAGTGATATGGTTGGTACGCTTTCTTTGTGCCCACTCGAAATGGTAATATACATGCACTTCATATGGAGGACCGTTACAGACTAAATGCCTGCTGTACATACGAGGAACAGATAATTATACTTTTCTCTCGATGTCCGAGGCATTGTCGTTTCCGCCTGGAAATTGATCGAGTCTCATTTGTTTTAGAAACGGATGTATCTTAAATATGCAGTCGAAGATGAATTGAACAGATTGATGGCATAGCATACAGAAAGGTTTTGTCAAAGAAAAAACCAATGGATTGAAAGACGACGGAGATCACTGGAGATAAATTAATTAAGAATCGTGTAAGATTGTATACCGAAATAATGACAGACAATTACCGGGACAGATCGTCCATTTTGCAGTTTTTACATTGTAATGTATTGTTTATCGTGAACTATTAACAAGTTTATCAAATTGTGCATAAAACTTTTGCAAAATGTTCGTAGGACATTTGTTAAAATGTGTGATCCTTTTCTTCTTGGGCATTTTTTTCCATTTGAAGCAACATAATTGTTTAAAAGCTTGATTGGGTGCATAGCAACTAACCTGTTGAAGTTTTTAAAACTACTATTACGAGAAAACATTTTGGGGTCTCGTAATTGGATTCCATTGCCAAAGCACGTAAGAAAGTGTGTCCGCCGGTAACTTTTTTAAAACCACTTTCAATGATTTGTTTTCTTTCAATCGGGGTCGGGACCAGCCATATTTTCACTTTAAGCAAGGTTCTCTCTTTAAATCGGCAGGTGTTTTCCGGGTAATTTTCATGGGATTCCGTTGCCAAAGCACGTTAAAAAGTGTGTCAGCAGGTAACTTTTTAAAACCACTTTGAATATTTGTTTTCTTTCGATCGGGATCTGGACCAGAAATATTTCCACTTTAAGCAAGAGTTCCCTCTTTAAATCGGTAGTAGTTTTTCATAGCATTACGTTGCCAAAGCACGTTAAAAAGTGTGTCCGCAGGTAACTTTTTAAAAACCACTTTCAATAATTGTTTTCTTTCGATCGGGGCCAGCCACATTTTCACTTTAAGCAAGGTTCTCTCTTTAAGTCGGTAGGTGTTTTCCTGTTAATTTTTTTATAATTGCCTTTAAGAGAAGATATCATCCAAAGCCCACATTTTACTCTTACTTTGTCCTTTTAATGATGCTGCAGGCATAACAATACAGATAACTTTATCTGCATGTGCTATCTCAACGTGACATTTTTGAGTTGCTGAATTATTAATTTGTATTTTATTTTTGTATTTTATTTCGACAACATCCAACAGCCCAAGCGCCAAAACAGGCTGGATAAGACTTCGTATAGAAGACGTGGAATTAAATTACAGTTTTAGTGGTGGGAGGAAAACTCCAAAAGAACATTTTGGGGAAAACCCACGGAATCAGGCAGGGACTGAAAACCCAATCCACATGTTGGCCCAGGCGGCATTCGAACCCGGGTCACAGTGGTGGAAGGCGAGGAAAGTACTGCTACGCCAACCGGATCCCCCTTCAAAAAAGATAAACCAATGAAAGCCCGTTTTCAAAAAATAAACCGTTATTACCTCGACCAAGGAGGTTATCTTTTCGTGGGATTTGATTCGTTTGTTGGTTGGTTAATTGGTTGGTTTGTCTGTTAACAAGATAACTCAAAAAGTTATGGACGGATTTGCATGATTTTTTTTAGGGGTGGTCATTGGTACAAGTACAAATCGATTAGATTTTGGAAGTGATCCGGATCTGGGTCTGGATCCAGGATTTTTTTTAAGGATTCTTCACCATTTATGCGAGTATTTCTTTTGAGTGTACTGACAATATGACGGGGAATTGTTTAGCCTTGGTGAGTGCTTTCTAAAGCTGTATAAAAGAGGTGAAGTTCTGTATTAAAAGTTTAAAATCTTGTGATATATTTTGTGAGTAAATGTATTTTTTTTCATTGATAAAAATTTCCTAGATTTGTTTTCAATAAAATCAGTCACGTTGCGTAGATGTGCTATTTATTGTCGAATCCCGCTCCAGTCAAGTTTGTTCAATTTATGGTTATTGATTATTATATCCACCTGGTCAGTTTCCCTTTCTGATTTATTTGACGATTTGCTCAATATTTAATCATTTCATTTAGGAATTGAGAACTACAATGGACTTACCAGATATTCGGACTTCCTTCGCTGCAGAATGTTCAACCCTCCCATCAGCAACCAAGGCGCCTGGATGAAGCAACATTTCCCCGTCAGGGCTGACCCATCGCCCGGTGAGAGCCAGTGAGTGGTAAGCGGATGACAAACCCGAATGTCCGGGAAACAACAGCGGCGACCAGCCACCAGCGGCCAGGGGGGCGGGTCCAAAGTGCTGATACCACCCAGGGAAATCTCGCAGAAACACGGGGTGGTGGAATGCCCCCGGATATTCGGTGATGGGGAGCTTACTACCGGTTAAGCTGAGATCTAAACTCGTTTCTGGTGATTCTTGACTAGGATCTCGGTCCCTTGTGATGGACGTGGTAGCGGTTCTCTCGACATCACTGACCCGGGAAAGCGTCCCGCTGCTCCCCTTCTCATCCTCGCTTTCACCGCGGTCCACGGAGGACTGTCGGTGGTAGTCGATCAGCGGAGATCCATCCGGACTCGCGGGGGAGAAAGCTTCGCCGGTCGGCCTGCCTCTAATGGGACTGCCCGGTGATTTTTCTTTTGTTTTGACGACTTCAGGATCGGGGAGGTTGTCAGCGAGGATCGACCGAATGGAATGCTTAAGGAGCGGCGACTGGACGCACCAAGTGCAACAGGTTGTCGCCATGACGAAAACCAACTGTCAGCGAGTAGGGAACTAACAAAACGATTGAAGAAAAAAACACCAAACAAACATAAACAAACAAAGCAAGCCTAGTAAAGATTCTCAATGGAAGTCTTTTCGTGCATCTGGTCTTCACAAGGACCGATTTAGTCCATAAATTGGCGTCACGGGTAATCCTATACGACAGCACTGCCCGATTATCTTCTCTATATTCTACAAACCAATCTACTATTCACAAGTGTCAGTCATTCATAGTCAGTCAGACAGTGAGATATATACGAACGAAGAAGGTATATCGAGAACTGGCCCTATTAGGCCAATGGTGGAAGTTGACGGCGGTTGTTAATTACCTCTGCCAAGGAGGTTATGTTTTCATCTGCGTTGGTTTATTGGTTGGTTGGTTGGTTGGTTTGTTTGTCTGTGAACAGGATAACTCAAAATGGACGGATTTTGATGAAATTGAGTTTAGGGGTGATCCTTAGTGCAAGTACAAATCGATTAGATTTTTGAAGTGATCCGATCTTGGTCTGGGGATCCAGGATTTTGTTTTTAAGGGTTTTCACCATTTATGCGAGTATTTCTATTTGCAGTGGATATTTAGCCGGAGACGGCAAACCTTTAGTAAACGTTAGCTTGCCGGATATGCACTGAACATGCGCAGTTACTGGGGTTTTTTGTACATGGAAAAACAAAACAGGTTTCTCGTTTATGACGCTCGCAAAAGTTGCAGTTTACACCGTAAACTAAGCTCACTGTACACACTTGTATCTTGCTGTATTGACGCACCGATGTAGTAGTATTATCGTGTGGGCCTTTATGAACAATCTGAGCAGCAACTTTCGAGATTTGAATCTTGAGGTTGAGTTTCTTTAACTCGAAAGATATACCCAGCTCCCATACTATCCGTAAATGCACATCCCTACTTGAACGCGAAGCTGATTTGACCTGACGTAATATTCGCGACGAAATTCGCCAGAGTTAAAGACGGCAGTGCAAAATAGGCTTATCATTCGCTTATACGCCTGGTATAGGAACCGGACTTTAACCACCACGCTATGCCTCTGTGTTGTCGAAAACTTTCTTCCACAGAGAAATTTCGATTGCAATAAAGTGTCTTGCCCAACGACACAAGCCTCACGGCTATGCTTGACTTCAGACCTTGGGGCATGTGATGTACAGCATACCCCTGACAGTTCTAAAATGACAATTTCTGATGAAAAGTTTTATCAAAATTACTATGTCAATTTTTGTTTCTCGCGCATCCTTGGCGAAAACTATGACATATGCGACACACCGAAATGTGCCGGTATCAAAGTCCTTTGTACTTGTGTGTTATTTTTTAGAGGTACGTAATAACACGTTGTTTTTGTGCATTTGGTTTTGGCTTGAAGCAACAAAATTGCTCAAAATCTCATAAGGTGCAACATACTAATGACCTGTTGAAGTTTCAGCTAAGTGGATATATATTTTGAGAAAACGGAGAAAAATATTCACAATCTTTATGATCTCGTAACTGCATTCAGTTGCAGACCACGGAAAAAATAAACCGCAGGCACCCTATTTTGAAACGACCTTCAATAGTTTTGTTCCAAGCGAAACCATTCCAGGCGGAATCATTTCATCGGATATTTGATACCAGTCCTATTTTTACTGTGAGCACGTTTCTGTCATTTATAAATCGGTAGGGTCTACTTTTTCGGGTAATTGCAAATGATCCTATATTTAATTACTTTATACACTGAATCTACACTAATTTCTTAGACAACAAAGTTGAAATCTCACCTGATTATTGTGCCAAACAGAACGTCGACCTTCCAAGCGATAAATGTATTGTAAATGTTAGAATATAATTGTACAGATTTCTATCTTGGATAGAATTTGTGTGTCGTTCCGAGCTGAATAGGACGAACCGACTTAGTGCCCGAACACGTGTGGATGTGTAGGCTATTCAACACTGACCGTAAGTTAAATACTAAATCACATTCGTCAAAGTACTTGAAATCTAGAGTGTCACCCCGTTTTTATGGACAAAAGAAATTGCCGATTTTTATTGCGACCACGGAGTCATAAACGCGGGGCACTTCTTGTGAAAAAGTATGGCACGATAGCAACATACGACTGTATGCGAAACACTGTTTACTTTATGTAAACTGGTAATAAAGTAGCGCGGCGTAAGTGACTTATGAGCAGGCGGGCTTGATTGTAGGGGTGTGTAAGCCAATCAGGAGGAGGCTTATAACATGCTGGGTAAACAAACGAGGAGATAGCGCGTGATTGAAAGACCGGGTTCGTTATCTTGAATTCCATTGGCTCAGTGTAGCAACGCCAGCTTCCTAACGGAAACAGTTGATTGAAATGTAGTTTTCTTCAGTTCTTCGAAAAAGAAGCAAGAAAATGGGTGGAGCTAGAATGAAGGACTAGGAGGTGTTGCTTCTTGGAAACGTACCACGCCCTTTGCCCTTTGACCTTGCAGAAGATAATGCATTCATGTGTGAACAACATTGACATGCACCCACCCAAAAGTTGCTTCGATGTTTCAAGTCTTCTCAAGTCATTCAACAAGGGTGTCTGTAACCATGTGGGTATTTTTCAAGGGCGGGGCTTGGATAATAAATGGAGGGGAACCTTACAAACTTTCATGGTCCAATTAAGGATGGGGGCGGGGATTTTTTTTGGGGGGGGTTCCGATTGGGTTCTGTCAATTGATCTCTCTGTAAAGTGTTGGCATACCGTTCCGACGGTTCCAGCTAAAATAAAACCTCAATGACTTTTTTTTTGGTTTCACTGCAACTTTTTAAATAACCGTACGAAGAAATTAACGGTGCACACCATTTTGTTTTCCTAAACGATAATTCTGTTATTTGTAATTTAATTATTTCTTTTTGTCAATATAAAGAAACCCTCCCAGAAAAGCAATTAAAGCGCTTCAGCCTGAAACTTCTGGAAAACAAAAAACAGTTTCCACAATATAAACAGTTGAGTACCTGAGGGGACTATGGGGCACGCCACCGTTCCAAATTTTGAAAGGCAAATATGAGTTTGTCAAATTGTTAAAAGCACATTGAATGCCTCTCCAGACATGAGGTAACTTAGTGACTCTGTTTTACTGGGTAACACTGCTACATTATGAATAATTAAATGATGTTTTATCAAAACGAAGCAAAAACCATGTAATGGCATGAGACAAATTTGTGCGTATCTGCATAGAACGTATCTTTTCCCCCATGACTGAAGGCTTTGTCTGTGCCAATCTTTTCTCTCGCCAAAGAAGTTGAATTTGTCCTCATTGTTAGAGTGCCCAATTCCGAATCAACACGTGCCCAATTCCGAATATTAATTACTAGGACACATTTAATTAATCCCTACTTTGGCCTAACATGCCTCATTGTTAGAGTGCCCAATTCCGAATAAACACGTGCCCAATTCCGAATATTAATTACTAGGACACATTTAATTAATCCCTACTTTGGCCTAACATGCCTCATTGTTAGAGTGCCCAATTCCGAATCAACACGTGCCCAATTCCGAATATTGATTACTAGGACACATTTAATTAATCCCTACTTTGGCCTAACATGCCTACTGGTGAGTGAAACGGGCTCCATTTTCTTGGTAACAACATCAATTACATTACAGATGGGAAGCGGTGACCGAGATGTATACGGATCGGAATTAGCTACAGAGCAAATATTTATCTATGTCAATGTTTGAGTTGCTATTAAAGTCTTCCGATTTTAGTAGGCGGTCCCTTTGAAGTCTCGTTGCTCGGACTCGGAATCAAGGTATAACCGTGCATGGTTGCAAAATAGGCAGTCGCACCGCAAGAGGACATTTTGGGGGAAGTTTAGCCTGGCGAGTTTAGTGTGTGGTAGGGTGGGGGTAGCTAGGGTGAGGCAGGGCGGGAGTTGGGTAGGGTAGGGTGGGGTAGCTAGGGTGACGCAGGGTGGGAGTAGGGTGGGGGTAGGGTGGGGTAGCTAGGGTGGGGGTACGGTGGAGGTAGCCAGGGTGGGGGTAGGGTGGGGGTAGCTAGGGTAAGGCAGGGTGTGAGTAGGGTAGGGTAGGGTGGGGTAGCTAGGGTGGGATAGGGTGGGGGTAGCTAGGGTAAGGCAGGGTGGGAGTAGGGTAGGCTGGGGCTGGGTAGCTAGGGTGGGGGTACGGTGGAGGTAGCCAGGGTGGGGGTAGGGTGTGTTTTAATTTTACAATAGTCATCAATTCGTAATATTTTCAACATGTTGTAACCTGTAATGCTTTCTTTTCTTTCCAAAATTCAATTGTTGGCTTTTGATTGGATGGGCCCAGTCAGGACAGAAAGATATGACGTTTAATACACAATGTTATAAATCTTATACATGGTGCCCGGATGTGCTGGTAATATCTCGCAGGTTTTTGAGGTTCAACTCGCACGCTCTATTTTTGAGTGACAGAGACTCATTGAGTGAGTCAGTGAGATAGGTAGAACACTTTAGAAAAAGTTGGTGAAACGTCTCAGGAAAAGTAAGACTTTGTATATAGGGTAAAGGTAATTTTTGGGGATAGTTCTTCACTATTTCAGCAAATGTCGTTCACAGTGTGATGGTGGAGGGGAACCACGCCCCAACCCCACCAACCTCTCCGTAATTGGAACAGCTGCAGCACGATAGGCGCCTTGGGTTTTGGACTTCGTCAACCCATCAGTCCATTATACTACAAGTTGCTCTTTGAATGAATTATGCGGATGCAGTGTAGAAGGCTTCAAGCGCCAAGAATTAGGCCTAAGACTTGTTGACCCCCCCCCATAACTATGATGCAGATTTTAGTAGATACTAGTGAACTGAATTTTCTCCAAAAACTTTATTTGCATTATTTTCCTGTTTATGATTTTACGAGTTACTGAAATTCATGTGGTCGAGGTTTTCCTTTATGGTTCGCAGTCGTTGTCTCGTTTAGTAATTATACCTTTAAATGGATAAGCTTAATGATAAATGTCATTTTGATAAAATAATACGATATCACCTTATAGGCAATGTCCGTAACATAAGTACTTGAGATCTAACGACACTCACCAGCTGCATGTTACAATAACAATGACTAGAATACCGCGCGACCTATGCACACATTCAGCTGATACCAATCTACACGCAATTGACTTTTAATTTGACGCGTGTACTTCAGGACGCTCATTAAACGAACGCAGGCACCAATTTAAGCGGGCGGGCACGATATGGAAGATATTAAACATCAGCGTGTTTTTAATAACACAGCCATCCAGCATTAGAGCGCTGTGCACACTAAATATTCTCGAATTGGCAATAAACTTTTGGTTCATTAATGAAAATTAGCCCGGCCGAGCACTTGAGAAAGCCATATCGTCTGGGAAGCTGGCGGCAATGCAATGTGTTTCGAAATTGATTATTACAAAAATCGTAAGGAGGGGACAAAAGAAAGCGAGTATTTTATGGCTGCTAATATAATCAAAAGCTTGTATTGCGAGTGACTGAAGTGTATTCCTTGGCAAATTGTCGCCTGGTAGTGAGGACATGGGAGCAAGGTGCGCCCAACTCCCACCCATATTTGATATCAACTCAATAACGTTAGGACGTACCAGTAAACTTGGAGCCGGTTCATACGAATGCGAGCGCGAATGTGTGACGTCACGGCAAGTTTTCGCGATGCGAATTCTCAAAAGTTGAACACTTTCAAACTCCGTCGAATTTCGCAGCATGATTCTAACGTCAAATTTGCATCGCTCTTCGCATTCGCGTGAGGGGTGAACCAGCCTAATAGGCCTACTGACATGTTTGAAGTTTTGTGTCCAAAAATGCTCGAAAAACCAAGAAAAACAAAACTGTTCAAGTAGTCTGGTTCCCTGACTCCACTAAAGATGAAATGGCTCAATTTATAGATGCCGAAAATTGTAAGGTAAGGGAACCAGTCTAGATGGCCTGCACCTGTTCATGAACATGTAACCAATAGCAAACACAATTTGAACTGAAACAAATGGTAAATATGGAGCAGTAGTTGAACAATAGTTAGGTTTTTCCAACGCTGGTCGGCCGACCACCGTTGGAAATGTATACAAAAATACCATTTTCTTGAAAATGACTTCACACCAGGTGTCATAATTTTACAAAATGCTTGTCACTGTCATTTACCAACATCCAAGTAAGGTATTTCGTAAAAACTTGGTAGTTGTATTTTTCGATGTTTGCAAATGTTGTATTTTCCCTTTAAAGCAGTAATCGGCGGTTCCACCGCAGCGCTGTTGGATGTGTTTAAAAAATAAAACAAATAAAATGTCAATTTGTTCGATTGCATTCACCGTGTAATTAAATATTAGATGTTGTGGTCACGTGACGCCAACTTTCAGTAAACGGTTCTTTTCTGCACTTCATGTATATCTCTTGAAATATGAATGGTTTAATAGTATTGACATACAGGGTGAGCAAAAAAAAAAGGAAACCCAAATGGCAGGACCATTTTTTTAAAATAAAGTTCTGCATGTAGCACTATCAAAATCTAGGATATGAAAGTCCAACCAATGAGCTTTCTTTTAGTATATTAGAATCATTCAAATCACTCATGTCGTTTTTGAGTTACAGAATTTTGATCACAAGTACCGTTTTAAAGTTCTGTCCACGGATGACAAAAAAGGTTATTTTTCGGCAAAACGAAAACAATTCACATATGGATGTATGTGAATTGTTTTCGTTTTGCTGAAAGAACACTTACACTGCAAAAACTGTAGTGTTAATTTAACACCGTTCGGTATCCATATAGGACAACACCAGTAAAATTTAACACCAGATGTACCTAGATAGATACCAATGGTGTAATTTTAACACTGCAGTTTTTGCAGTGTACCTTTTTTTGTGATTCGTGGACAGGTCACATGGCCCTATACGAGTAAGACCCAATTGAATATGACGAAATTCGAAAACACTGTGTCCAGTTGGACCAGCTTTTTTTTCTGATACATAAAACACGGATATTACAATATGCATCTTCATATTTCAATAAGATTTGCCATTTCAAGGAAAAGAATATGGACTTGAAAATGTAACTAAGAAACGGCTTCGATGAGCGAAAACGAAAAAAAAACCACACAAAC